CCTAGTCTCGTTGCAGGTTCTTTCGCTAAACCATCTGATATTGGCTTTTTCGGTAAAAGCCAACTTTAACCTGAGTTTTGCCGCAGACAATGGTACTTCAGCGACGTGCTTATATTTTATTGTAGTTAGGTCTTTTCTCTCCAGCTCAACCGCCGCGTAATTGCCTGGGATATCCCTATTTTCGAGCACCCAGACCACGGCTGTGTTGCAATCAGCTGAGAGCTTACTTAAAGTGCTTGCGCTTAATCTGTTGGCAACTTAATTATCCGAGTTTATACTAATTGATTGGAGATCCCAGCAACCAGTCTGAGGCTACCGTTATACCGCAATAATTGCCGCATGGAAGACTCTTCAGTAGCCTGGTGGCCTCAAATTGAAATTGGTTGAGGGCATAAGGGAGCGAATTCAACAGCCTAAACTCGATGTCAGGTAGAGGTATCCGTGAAAACGACTTTGCCTCTCTGATGCGCAGTATTTGCAATTTACCATTAGTTGCTGTACGAGATTCTTGTTGAGATGTGATTGTCAAAGCAGTAAGTGAAAATGAAGGGATCTAACTCATTTAGAAAACTCCACCATATGCACTATAGCGTGACATCTCTACGACTGAGCCGCTTTCCGTCGAATAGCAGTTTTCCCTAAAATCCAGGGTAGTAAAGTTGAGACGAGTTTTCGGGGCCTTTGATGGAGTCGACGGTAGAGCTCCTATGAAGACAATAGCTTAACTGTATCCGGTTTATCCCTGAAAATGGGGTTTTCGAGCCACCAGTGACTCCGAATCATAGAATTGTTCTGACTGCTAGAGCACTTAAAGAGAGTGAAAAGCTCTCCGCGACCTTCCCGCCGTATCTCGGCTCCAGCTAAGTTTGCTATCTAAGATTATTCTGAATTATCCCTCGTAATAAATAAACATTTAATTTTAATTCATCAATTTTTTATTTTCATTTTATTTTTTAATCTAACCTTTCGTTTCGTAACTTATTGAAAATATTTTTCTTTTTCAATTTAATATCTTATTTTAACATTGTTTGACATTTTATTTTGCTTTGCTTGCGTTCAATTCAACAAAATGCTTAGTTTCAGTGTTTTCTTATTTAATTAATTTTTGCCTTTGACTTTTTCTTGCACTTACATACTCTTATTTATATACTCTTATTTATTCAATTTTCAGTGAATTTTCCAATGCCGCATTTTCTTCAATTCTTATATTTCTTTCAAATAATTTTCATTGCATTTTTTTTCAATATTCAATCGTTTTATCTTTGTTTTATTTTTTATTTCGTCTAAATGTCGCTCCAATGCATTGTTAATATCTTTTAATATTTATTTATTATAATAGTATTTACATTTAATATTTAGTATTTAAAATTGTTTATAACTAATTTTTTTTCTTTAGTTTATTCTATGTCTTCGAATTTTCTTTCACTCTATATTACAATAATTAGCTTTGCTAATAGTTTTTGTTACATTTACTAATATTTTTCTCTAACGCACGTGCTAAATATACACACAGACATACCACAAATTTTGCTTGAAACGGATGAATCTTCCTAACGAATACTTGGTGAAATAGTAGTAGAAAAAAAAAAATTAATAGATATTAGAAAGATATGTCGAGAAAACGGTCCTCGTTATTTATTAGATAAAAACAAAAAAATAATAAATTCATCTACCTTTTTTCTCCCAGCCTTTACCGCCCACGAGGACATTTCTGCAAATAAACACCACTTTCCACAAATAAGACAAATAGATGGCGCTCTTAGCACATGTCAACGGAAACATATACATATGCGAGCGCCTCAAACTTAGACATTTCATCGAAGAAATTTTAAAGAAATATTTCTGTATGTTTTTTATTATTACAATAAAGTAAATAATATATATATATAAAATATTAAGTGAAAAGTGCACAAGCTTTAAGAAGTGGTATGGTGTGGAGAAAAAATCAATACAAAAGTGATTAAAAAGAGTAGGTTTTATGGCAATCTTCCCATTTGGGAGCGATGTGCATTACTAATAATATTTTCTAAAACTTAAGAAAAATTGCTTTTTAAAACTGCAGACTGATGTTAATTAGATAAAGGCGAATAAATATTATGAACCTGAATATGATCTTCCATTGCAAATAATGAAAAATAAATGAACATGGAGGTAAAATTGCTAGACATCACCCTGCCGATTCAAGTAACTGCAAGAAGCATTAAAGGATTCACATATTCCACGTGATCAAGATGTTTTCAATGGGCATAAAACTTATAATGAACCCCACGAACTTGTATTTTAGAAATTTATTGATTGATTAAGTGTTCAAGACCTCAAAGCTGTGAATAAGAAACGGGTTAGAAAAATTTTGACCTAGGAGAATGAAATGAAATAGAATAAAATAATATAGATAAAAATAAAATAAAATGAAATAAACTAAAATAGATAAAAATAATATAAGATAAAAATAAACTAAGATAAAATAAAATAAAATAAAAAAATAAAATATANTAAAATAAAATAAAATAAAATAAAATAAAATAAAATAAAATAAAATAAAATAAAATAAAATAAAATAAAATAAAATAAAATAAAATAAAATAAAATAAAATAAAATAAAATAAAATAAAATAAAATAAAATAAAATAAAATAAAATAAAATAAAATAAAATAAAATAAAATAAAATAAAATAAAATAAAATAAAATAAAATAAAATAAAATAAAATAAAATAAAATAAAATAAAATAAAATAAAATAAAATAAAATAAAATAAAATATAATAAAATAAAATAAAATAAAATAAAATGAAATAAATTAGAATAAAATAAAAATAAAATGAATAAAAAAAAAACGAAATAACATCAAATAAAAACAAATAAAATGAAATAGAATGAATATGTTTATTTAGTAGTTTATTTAGCTTGCTTAGAAAATGTTGTTAGCTTATGGTATGAAAACTTGTAGTTTTTTATCTCTATACGTTTTTATGCTACTTAATTTCTATTACTAACTACTATAGTTCACTCGTACATTTATGCGTCTATAATTTAATTAAACATTTAACTAAGCTAATTAAAATTTTCATTTAACTACACATTGAGTATAATTTAATAATTTATCTGTATGTATATTTGATTTTAGTTTTCTGTAAATGTATTATTTTAATTATTTATATACATATATATTATGCTATTTTAACTATTAACAATATATATTAGTTTTTTACTATTTTTAACATATGTTAATTGTTTTTTAAATTATTTTTGTTCATAACCTATTTTTCTAAATTTATATATATATATATTTATTAAATACATCTTTGTAGTACCCGTGAAGTCGCGTTCAAATTTTGCTTAAAAATTGCATGATTACTTTCTTTTATTTTATGTCTTTTTTTTGAATTTTTTGTGTAGTAATTTTTTTTCTTTATTTATTTTTATTTTATTTTATTTTTTTTTCTTAATTTTTCATTTTGTATGGCATTGTTTTTGTATTTAATTATTAATTTTCGTATTTTTATTATAAATTTTTTAATTTGGTTTTCAATTTTATGTTTTTTATTTATAATTTCCTTAATTTTAATGTATATTTCTCCTTCTAACCTTCGTATTCCTTGAGTTAAAATTGTTTAACAGCTTATATTTAAAGTTTACCGCTAAATATACTTCACTTACTACTAAATTTGTTCATAATTAAATTTAGTTTTTTTACTGTTTTTTTTTTTTGTAATTTTTTCATGTTTTTTTTTTTATACGCTCGAAGTCTTTGATTTCATAGGAATTTTATTTTGGTTACATAATTTATTTCTTCTGCTTGGTTTGTGAGTTTTGAATTTAAATGCTTGAAGTTTTTCGAGTTGGTGATTTATTTACATAAATTTTGTTTCGAAACTTTTTGTGGCTTAAAAGTGATATTTCTGGTGCTTTGTGAATATTTACATAATAGATTTTGCATAATTTTTTATTTTCCGCTCAAGTTTATATGCCAAAGATGGTTTTATGAAGGTTGATGCATGCTTAACCACAGAGTTTGAGACAGGGAAAATTTGAAAAATTAGGTGAAAAATTTTGAGAATTCTTGTAACACTTCATTACAAGGCCGGGAAATCAAAGCGGGAAACTTATTTTAGAGACGATGGAAAATGTTGGAAAATCGAACGAGTGTTGAAATTTACTGGAAAATGAGGAAAATTACTTTTTTCGTTATTTGATGCTAGAAACTTTTTATCTAATTTTTTTTTTTAATAATTAATTTAATTATTTTTACTTTTTAGTCTAAATAGTATTTCATTGTCTTACAAATGTTTAGAACATTAAGTTGTGGCATTTCTGTTGTGTAATAATTTTTATTTCTTATTTCTATACATTTTTTGAGTATTTTTTTGGTGGTAGAAAGTTTTGCTTAGAAAAGAGAATTCTTAATCATTAACTCATGCGGTTTTTTTTCAATTTTTATTCTACATGCTTGTTACATACAATTCGTTTAATACTAGATTTTGTGCTTGTGTAATGTTTATATTTATATATAATATATGTATATTTATATTAGAATTTTTAACTATTTGCCTAACAACATATGTATCTAGAGTAGAGCTATCACAAATACTAATACAAACAATTACATACACATACATACTAGATAATTCTTATAACAATTTCGTTAGTTTTTATACATAAATTACTATTTACAAACTTAAAATATATATAAATTTTCATAAAAAAAATCCTCATACACATACAAAATTATTTCTTAAAAATTTGCTTTTAAATTATATATTTCCGCTCATTGCTTTATCAACAAGAATTTCGTAATTTTCCAATTTTTATCTACAGCCTTAAATAATTTTTTTAATATTTTTTTTATTAACAAAATTAAACTTTTTTGTGATTTTTTCAAATTTCACTTAATGTTTGTTTTCCAACAATTTCTTATTACTAAAATAACATCAATTACAATTACCTACACCTACACACATTCATATAATCGCTACTTACTAATTAACTTAATTTAACTTTACATCTTTTTTCAATATTTTCTTCGTTTAATTTATTTCTATTTAACTAATTTACATATGATTTACCTATCACGAGCAGGGAATTGACACGTTTTTTCATGTATGATGATCGTGGGTATCTGAAAGCAAGCGTTTGTAGAGGAAAAAAATTAGAAAATTTTTATGCACTTAACTGAGCTTTTATACACACAAATAGATTTATTTATGAGAAAATTAACAAGGACAATTGTACAAAAAAGTGAGATGTAAGCATTGGTGGCGACAATTTCAAACACCGACGTGTGCAATTTCAGACGATTCACTCATTTTAACGGTGTTAAGCGTTGTCTGCGATTTTACATTTAAACTTTTTGGCTATAAGATCTAGTGGATAAATACAAATACAATTGCGCTATTCACTCGAATATTTTTATTGCTTTTTATTTCATTCAAATTGATATTATTGTAATAATTTTTTATTATCAAATTTATTTATTTTGATTGAATTGCACTTCCTTTTTTTAATTTTTCATCTATTTTCAGTTTATTTTTATTTCTTTTTTTTAATTTAATTTAATTTTTCTTTAAAATAAAATATTTATAATTTTTTTATATTTTTAATTTAATAGTTTTGATATGTTTTACATGATTTTTGCATTTATTTTGCGTTATTTCACTTAATTATAATTAATTTTGAGTTATTTTTTATTATTAGATTTTATTTTATCTTATTTTACATACATAGTTTTATTCATTTATTTTTTAATTTTTAAATTTTTAATTTTATTTAATTTGTTATTTTATTTCATTTCATATTTTTTTTCTTTAATTTTTAATTCAATTTTCATTTTATTTTCTGCTATTTTAGTCATTTTACTTTAGTTAATTGAGTTAAATTTAATTTAGCTTATTTTATATTGAATTCTTTTTATTTACATTTGTTTAAAAATTTTTCTATTATCTACTTTATTTTTTTAAATTTATTTCCAATTTCACTTCATTTGAATTTCTTTAATTTTTTAATACAATTTAATTCTGTTTTGATTTTACACTATTTCAATTATTATATTTTATTTAATTTAGTTTAATCTAAATTATTCTATTTTATATTCTGTTTATTTATATCTGTTTCATTTATTTTACTAATTTTACTTTGCATTTCTTTAATTTATTCTGTTCCCATTTTTATTACATTTTTTTTAATCTTATTTTTTAATTTATTTCTTATATAATTTTATATTATTTCAATTATTATATTTTAGTTGATTGAGTTTAATTTATTTTAGTTCAATTTATATTCTTTTTATTTACATTTGTTTAATTTTTTCTATTCTACACTTTATTTCTCTTTATTTTATTATGTTTCTAATTTTCATTTCATTTGAATTTCTTTTATTTTTTAATTTAGTTTAATTTTTAGTTTGTTTTATACTATTTTATTTTTAACTAATTAAGTTTAATTTGAATTAATTAATTTTAAAATATTTCACCATTTTTTAACTATTTTACTTTGTTTCCAATTTTTATTTCATTTCCAATTATTATATTTTATAAATTAATTCCATTTTTATCATACTAGCTTATTTATTTTATTATTATTCATTTTGTTTTATTATTTTATTTATTTCATTATGTTTTATATTATTTTATTTTATTTTATTTTATTTTATTTTATTTTATTTTATTTTATTTTGTTTAATCTATTTTATTTTATTTTAGTTTATTTTATATTCACTTTATTTACATTTATTTAATTTAATTTACCATTCTTCACTTTTTTATTTTTTTTTTTTTTATTTATTTCATTTAAATTTCTTTTGTTTTTTAAATAATTTAAGTTTTTTATTTTTTTTTGGTTTTCTTATTTTGTTTTATTTTATTTTGTTTAATTTAAATTAATTTATTTCATATTTATTTGACATACATCTGTTTAATATATTTTATCTTTTTCATTTTATTTTGATTTATATTTTCCCGTTATTGATTACATATCAATTTATTTTGTTTTTTAATTCATTAATTTTTTATTATGCTTTATTTTAATATTCCTATTTTATTTGATTTTATTTTGTAGTTTGGTGTAATTTAATTTAATTTCATTTTATTTCAATTTAGTCTTATTTACTCTATTTGATTTTTCAGTTTATTTTGTTCTATATTTTAATTTTATTTTAATTACGATATTTTATTTTGTTTAATTTTAATTAATTTTTTTTAATTTTATTTTGTTATAGTTTATTATATACAATTGTGTTTTCTTTTTGTTTTATATTATTTAGTTCATTTTATATATTTTTATTTACAATTTTGTCATATTTTCAGTTTCTTTCATTTTCCTTGAGTTTTTTTTTTATTAATATATTTTTTCGTATTCCCTTTATTTTATACTTTTATTTAATTTTTTATATAATTTTTTTTGTTTTTATTTTAAATTTTCTTAAAAATAATTAATTAATTGATTTTTTTTCTTGATTTTAATTTTTTTGTTGGTTTAAAAAGTTATATTTTATTATTTTGTTTTACGTTAAAGTTATATTTATAGTGAGAGTGATAAATATTATGTGTCTGTCATGTGATTTGCCTTGACGTGATGCGACGCGATGAAATACGTCACATGATGCGGAAATGGATTCAATACAGTTTTGTATTTATCTGGTGATAATAAAATACTTTCGTTATTTTGTTCTTTTAAGTTTTAATACTAATTGGCGACATTTGAAGTGAGTTTTTTTCTGTGATGAGCTTGTGCTATGTGATTTTTGTGAATGTTAAATGCAATGAGAAATGTGACGTGATTGTCCCATCAGATGAAATGAAGTCATATGATTTTAAACTTAAATCTTTCACATTAGAAATGCGACATAAATTATAAAAATATTAAATTACAAATAAACACCACACAGTAACAACACTTGCAATTTGATTGACAAACACTTTAAATGTTTATTTTTGTTTTTGTTTTTTTTTGTTGAATAATATTTCATTACCGATTCCGCAGAAAATTGCAAGTATTTCTATGAAAAGAGTGAAATGTTAAAAAAATACAATCAGAATTAAAAATATATAGCGGAGCTTGTATATGTACATACATACATAAAAACAAAATTGTATAAACAAAACAGGCACAACTCAAAAGTTTTCAGTTATGAGTTTATAGTTGGGATCTCGTTTTTTGTTAGACTTCTAAGAAATTTATGCAGTTCTATCTAATATTTGTTATTGTAAAATGTCGAAAGTAGATCGTATGGTACTTTTGGGATAGTTGCTTTTAATTTTTGAAAAAAAAAAAAAACAATAACAATTCCAAATTTTTCGGATGTTTGCTGTTAAGAAATGCGTCAAAATACATTTATTTAAAAAAAATATTTTTATACAAATTTTTAAATTATTTCAGTTGGATTTGTGTGCTTAAATTAATTTTTAATTAAGAAGTCATGATTTCAAAATTTAAAAAAAAAAATAAAAAAGAGTGAAAAAAATATTTTTTTTTAAATTTTGCAATTGGTGTTAACTAAAAAGTATAATATGCAAAAAAAAAATTTTTAATATTTTTTTCTCCGTATGAAATATCAAGAAAATATTGTTATTTTAAATTCCTAGTTTTTTATGATATCAGAAGCACAAATATTGCATTTCCCCAAAACTGAACATTTTTGAATTATGCCTTTTTGTAGATAACATTACGATATGGTCTAAAAAAAAAATGTCGAAATTTTGCCAAAAAAAGAATTCAGCCCGCCCACAATTTGATTATCACCAACAGCAAGTAACATGAAAAGCTTCACACGTCTATTGTATCAAACACGCATACATACATACATATACTACATATGTATGTATATTCAGATGTGCCTTGCTTCAACTAAAGTAGGAGCACGAAAATTCCACACCACAAACCAATGGCGCCCGCTCGCCAACCTCACTCACCCACGCGCGCATTCCGTTCAACTGGCCTAATGCCGCCACTCAAAGACAATTATCAGTGTACACTGAAGCCGATGATTGGCTAGCACGCGTTGAGCGGCGCGTAAAATGTGCGTAACCAACGCTACCGGCAACTGGCAATTCCTCACCATCACCACGACCACCGCCGCTGCCACCGCACGTACCCACGGTAATGCCAAATTCGCTTAACGGCGATTTGTTGCTCACATCTGCAACTTCACCTTCATCTTTCGCGGCTGCTAGGAACACCAGTGAGTCGCGTTTAATGGCAGCACAATTCAAAGCAGTGAAATTCATTTCCGATAACGGTATTGATGCTGCTGATGTTGAATTTAATAACATTTGATTTTTATTATCTCTCATGCAAATGCTATTGTTGGCGTTGTTGTTGCCACACTTACTACTATTATTGTTATTGTTGTTATTATTATTGTAATTTCTGATAAATCGGTAGTGAGTACAAGTGTGTTTTGGGTTGGACTTATGGCGTCCACAATAATTACCTTGGGTTATCGCTAATGTTGCAGCAGGTGTATTATGCTGTGAGGAGGACGTCGTTGCTTGTAAATTAAGTGAATTAATGGTGGAACCCGAACCAGAGCCGCCGCCGCCGCCGCCGCCACCGCCGCCACCGCCACTAAGACCACCAATGCCAGCCATTTGTATGCCACCGCTAAGAGAATTGACGCTCGTTGCCGGTTGATGTGTGGCAATGCCGCCCATGGATATGCCGTTGGTGCCATTACTGCCGCCATTCATTTCGCCACCCTTGTTCGTGGCCTCCCACTAGACCAATCGTTGTTTGAGTATGCGTATCTTCTCCTCTTTCTGTAGGTGAGATAAAGAAGAAACTCAGTTTTAGTTGTAAATTATGCAATAATGATTTGGCAAATATTGAAATGGACAACTCAAAGGCTCCTTTGTTATGCACTCTAACCCGGCTGTGGTAACTCATTTCTCGCAGGTTTGGAGTAATTATGTCTTAAGAGGCAGGCAAGTAGAGGAGAAAGCAGTAGGCTGATTGCACCGAGGATCTCAATAAAGTTCCTCTACCAAACATTGATGTCTTTCATGAAAACTTGCCAGGAGAAGAAAACTACTGCAAGACAGACAATGAAGAACTAGAGGTGAAGCGACCATCTTAGACGAGTATTTAATGGTATCGTAGCATGTAGAGTTTTATAGGTTTTCGTTCCGGAAACATCAAACTTCAAGAAACAGCTTAAAGCTATACGGCTCTCCATCTGTGGCGGCAAAGAAATGAATAGGGACACGCAAATTTGAAGAGGAAGACATGCAGCATGTGTCAAAGAACTCTCGAGTATCCGACCATAAGAGCAATTACGGTAGAAGAAGGAAGAGGAAAGACTGTTGAGTTGACGAGTTCAGGGCCAGAACAACTCTCGAACACCCGACCATGAGAACAATCATAGTAGAGAAAGTAAAGGAAGGACTGATGGATTCAGAAGAACAACTTGGCAACTTGCTTCATTCAACTGCCTTTTGTTGCCAGCGCCGGTATTGGTGATTCTGCCTTGGGTTGAGTGAGTTGATATCTTACAGTTAGCGGAGAGGGAAGCCGATGGAGGATGGCGACTACCATAAAACACAACACTCGTTGGTGGATCAGCATCCGTTAGGAGAGGGCAATAATATGGGAAATTTAACAGCGAGTTTAGTGGGTTAAAGGTTTCTGTATGTTATTACAATATATTGGATGAGTGCATAAGTTCGTGCCCGATTCCGCTGGATGCCGTTCGAATCGTTTGAGAGTGGCGCTCGTGAAAGAAATATATACATATTATATATCGTTGGAAAGGTGACAGTCCGAACTGTAAATCAAGCATAAAATAACTTCATTTTGATTTGAGTTGCTTAGTGAAAAGACGCATGGAAGATGGACAACGAAAAAGATCATATGCGTCATATTATGTTATACGAATTCCGCAAAGGAAAAACAGTAGGCGCTGCAACTAAAGATATTCGCGAAGTTTATTTGGACCGTGCTCCAGCACTCCGCACAGTAAAGAAATGGTTCGCGAAATTTCGTTCTGGAGATTTTAACCTCGAAGATCAACCTCGCAGTGGACGGCCTTCTGAGCTTGATGACGATGTTCTAAGGACTTTAGTTGCGAATAACTCACGTATTTCGACGGAAGAGGTTGCCAGTGAATTGAACGTCAACAAATCAACTGCGTTTCGTCGTTTAAAAAAGGTTGGGTACACTTTGAAGCTCGATACATGGGTGCCACATCAGTTGAGTGAAAAAAACAAAGTGGACCGTATGTCAACAGCAATTTCTTTGCTTCGACGGATCAAAAACGAACCTTTTTTGGATCGGCTCGTGACTGGTGATGAAAAATGGATCCTGTACAACAATGTTCAACGCAAAAGAACATGGAAACAGGCACACGAAGGGGCGGAACCGATGTCGAAAGGTGGATTGCATCCGATGAAGGTACTGCTGTGCATTTGGTGGGATATCCGAGGCGTGATCTATTTTGAGCTCTTGCCAGCTGGAGAAACGATCACTGCCAACAAGTATTGTCAGCAATTGGTCGAATTGAAGAAAGCAATTGATGAAAAACGTCCGATTTTGGCCAATCGCAAAGGAGTTCTTTTCCATCATGACAACGCCAGGCCACATGTTGCAAAACCGACCCTGGCCAAACTGAAGGAGATGAATTGGGAAATCATGCCGCATCCCCCATATTCACCCGACATTGCACCTTCTGATTATCATTTGTTTCGATCGCTGCAGAACAATTTGAATGGGAAAAAATTTAAAAATGTAGAAGACGTCAAAAACCACCTTGACACCTTTTTCAACGAGAAACCGCGCGATTTCTATGAATCAGGCATCCGTAAATTGGTTGAACGTTGGGAGCGGATTGCCGTACATGATGACGAATATATAATTGATTAATAAAAGCGCTTTTTTCAAAAAATTTCAATTTTAGTTTGCAGTTGAAATCGGGCATGAACTTATGCACTCATCCAATTTGTATTTACTGAGGGTAGTAGATTCTTTGGCCTATATAGGTCTTAAGAGTTCAAAACAAATTTTTATGCCAAAGTACCTCTCTGCAAATAATTGGTCTCTCTTTTAATAGATTTTCGTTTTCCAGCAACTCAAAAGAGCTTCGTAGAATGATTTTTCCTAAGAAAACATTTAGTAAAATTTTTGGAAAATCAAAATAAAAATAATTTTCCGCATCATTTTAGCTCTCTCATGGGGTAGTTCTTGTTTGCAATTTCTGGTGGTTTTAAAGCGTTTCGTATAAAGATTTTGTCGTAGAAGTTTTTCAGTGAAATTGTAGGCGGAATAATTTTGTAAAATATTTTAACCCTCTAACGGTCTTAGAAATTCGTTTTCGCTGCTCATTTCTGAGTTTTATTTTTATTTTTTTTATTTTGTTTTGGAAAGGGAAAACTCTTCGTATCAAGAATTAGTCCAAGAAGTACATTATTGGTATATTTAGACCCTTTACTGGGCTGCCAAGCTCATTCTTTGTAGCATATTTTTGTGGGAGCTTTTTTTATAACTTTCTGGAAGCTTAAAAGCTCTTGATATAAAGATTTTGTTTGACAAGCTCATTTGTAAAATTTTCCGAGGAACAATTTTGTAAAATAGTTCAACCCTCTAATGGCATTCCAAGCTCTTTTTATTCAAGCAAACTCACAAAGTAAGTGACAAAATAACCTTGACTGACAGATAGAGAGCTCAAATGTTCTAAAAATTTAATATAACTTTTAAGTTTTATTTCACTTAAGTGTGATTTTCAAGTATTTTTTCTACTACAACCATCAACAGGCCATGCAGATTTTAGAAGACCAAAATTTAATTTCGAGCTCTGGCTTGTAGATTTATGGGTAGCTTTTCACTGGATATTTCAAATCAAATTATTTCGATTTTTCCTTAATATTTTGTACTGTTCTCTCAATTATTAAAAATAAAATCTTCACCTTCATTAAAAATACTTTAATCATTCTCTTCAGTGCATAATTGAATTGCGAAAATGAGGAATTCAAACTCTCTCGTACGCAGACAACTGCATTCAATTCAATCGTGAGAAAGAAGAAAAAATTGCGAAAAATAATAACGGAATCAACAAATGAGCAGCAATATTAAGAGATCAATTCTTTTTTATTTTTTCTTGCTGAGGCAACAGAGCGCAGGGCAGATGAATGAGAAGAGTCAATCAATAAAGTCTACCTCCAACGATCCTCCCCGTTGCACGAGCAAATATGATGAGCATAAAAGCATGACACGGAACATATGTACTTATGTACATATATATATATATATATATATATATATATATATATANTGTAATGAGTGTGTGTGCGTGCATGAATTTTTACTGTTGGCTAAAGAAATTTCGCTGATTACATTTGGGCAATGAGAGGCGAGCCAAGCGTAGCTGCTGCGCTGCGCTGTGGTGCGTCGGCATGGCGTGTACAGTGAGTGTTTGCTTGCTTGTATGTATGTATGTATATTCACAACAAACACACACACACACACATACACACAATCAATATTTTTTTAGTGCTCATCAGGGTGCAAATTGACAAATATGGATTACACCATGTCATCGTGTCAGTTGCACAAGGAAACGCACGAATCTACCTCCTCTGCAACCAGACGGCGTCTGCCTCAACTGTTGGCGGCACCATCAACATTTGTACGTATGTACATGATACCGTTAAGGCATAAACACATATTCGGTTGCATATTGCCTTGAGCGTTTGAGCGTTCCTCGAAAGTCACTCAGAAGAGAAGCAAAATGAATTGCAGCTCCATCCAGCTCGCGCACTACTGGCTTACTTCTTGGCTGACTGGCTGGCTGACCTGACTGACTGACGAGCTAGTTCGTTGGTATACACGCGGTTGGCGCTGCTACGGCACCGCAAGTCATGGTAATTACATGCCACAATGCATGGTGGCGCATATGTATGTATGTATGTATGTCTGCTTGGCATGTGCGGGTGTAGATGACAATGAAGGCTTGGTGTGGAGCCTGAGTATGTCCGCGTGTGACTCAGATTGCAGTGAGCTATAGTATGTACCGGAACCGATAGTATTTGCAAAGGAATGACTCTGTCTGTATATACATACACATACATAAGTGAGCGTGCGAATTTTGGGGAGAATTTTGAAGCAAAAAAAAAAAAATAAAAATAAAAATAAAAAAACATAAAATAGATAAAAAATACGGGAATTGGAGACGCATCAATTTGAGTATGCAATAATACACACACACATGCATTTATATGTATGTGTACTTGTATTCAATACAAAGATGAAGATTTTCACAGCAAACATTGTGAAACGCACTTCGTTGCTCTTTTGAGCCTCTGCGTTGGCGAATGCTTCGGAGATGGCGTTACGAGCCAACTAATACATACATACATATATGCATAATATGAATCAACCAAAAAGTATGGATATAACGTTGAATCCATAATTTATATTTTCTTGGTTCTTTTTCGGTCTTTTTTTCGGTGGAACTTATGCAATTACCTGTTCAGTCCTTTTCCAAAATTCAGGAGGAGAAAGAAAGAAATAAAGAGAGAGAGGAGAGAGAGAAGGGAGAGGGAAGGAAATAGACAGAGAGAGAAGAGAGAGGGAAAGAGAAAAAGAGAGAGAGGGGGTTAGAGAGAGAGAGAGAGATAGAGTTAGAGAGAGGGAGAGAGAAAGAGAGGCAGAGAGAGAAGGAGAGGCGGACAGAAAAGAGAGGCAGAGGGGGATAGATAGAGAGAAGGAGCGGCTGAGAGAGATAGATAGAGAGAGGGACAGAGAAGAAGAGGCAGAGAGAGGGAGAAAGAGGAAGGAGAGGGAAGTGGAGAGGATGAGAGAAGATTAAGAGGAAGAAAGAGATAGATAGAGTGAAGGAGAGAGGGAGAGACAGAGTGAGAGGGTTGGATAGAAAGAAAGATGGATATAGCTAGATAGCTCTATTCACCAAAGAGTCATAACTGAGGTCATAAGAAAACTTCTAAGGCTGAAAAAACCTGAGAAGCAGAACATTTTTTTAATCAAGCCGCCACGTATCTTGTTCTTTCTTAATATTGAAATTTTAAGCAGCCTGAGTATCGTATTTGTAAAAAAACAATCGAACTACGTCGATATTCAGTGGAAACCTGGTACGACGAGAAATTTCCATACAACATGGAACTCAAGAAGAAGAGAAAGAAGAAGAAGACGAGGAGGAAGAAGAAGACGAGGAAAAAGAAGAAGAATTAGAAGAAGAAGAAAAAGAGGAGGAAGAAGAAGAGTTAGAAGAAGAAGAAAAAGAGGAAGAAGAAGAAGAAGAAAAATAGGAGGAGGAGGAAGTAGAAAATGAAGAGAAAGAAGAGGAAGAATAAGAAGAATAAGAAGAATAAGAAGAAGAAGAAGAAGAAGAAGAAGAAGAAGAAGAGGAAGAATGAGACGAAGAAGAAGAAGAGGAAGAATAAGACGAAGAAGAAACACTTTCAGTTCACCTCTCAATCACAATCTCCTTAAGTCTTGAAGAACAAGTATGCTTTAATAAATTCCATTTTCCTGCGTTGCCAATGTCCAATAACGTACGGGGTTTATGCAGTTGTCGGTGAAGATCTTCGCTATTAGCTTCACAGAGGGGAGAGTTAGAACTCGCTAATTTCAAAAACTGAATATGTACTTAAAGGGGCGATCTTCAGGGGAAGCAGTCCTGCGCTGTCTGTAAATGCTTGGACTCACTTTTATCGGAATCCAAGAGTCCCACATTATCTTTACATGTCTAACCACTTATTTACAGCAAAGAAAGTCGATACTCGCCGCCACCTGATATCTTAACCGAGGAGCAGTACCTCCTCTATTTGTGTTATCGTGTGTAAGTCTCGCTACAGCAAAAAATGTATAGCATTTCTATTACCTGTGATATCAGTCGCTGCAGCTCCTCATTTTCCGTAACTAAATTCTGGTAGCGTTCTTCATCTTCTTTTGATATACCCGAATCGGGATTGTACTTTGATTCGGCTTTATCCTTTGGATGGCGTATCACTTCAATAACCTGGAAAAAAGAATTGAAAAGAACTTTCACTCTTTGAATATGCCTCAAATATATGCAGCGCCATCTGTTGGAGAGCTTTTCTTGCCACATTTCTTATAAATCATATTTTCCAATTACTCAACTCACTCACCTTTGGCACAAATATCAGCAACATACTTAGGAAACAACAAAATATCACAGCCAATGCAACAAAAGCGAATGAGGCATCCTGTTGCGATGCGATGACCATGCCCACTGGAGCTGTGATTAAACATAGTACAACCACATTGTAGATGCTCATGCCGACATAACGGGAATCGTTGATTTGTTTCACCTTAATCGAACGCGTTTCATAGGCAAGAAATAGGCCAAATACAAGTATGAGACCTTTGAAGCCATAAACGATGCCTGTGAGGGAGGATGAGAGAGAGAGAGAAAGAGAGAGAGAGAGAGGCAGAGAAAGGTGGAGAATTTTAATAAAATAATTTAATAATTATTCCATCTTTTCTACGTTTTTACATAATAATTTTTTTAATTAATTTTCCTTCCACCTACCCAACCACATTGTATTGTGATGACTCTCGCAATGCTCCAATTCTGGACGTATTTTTATATCATCGGATGTCAATATGGGGTCCTCGAGTGGGAATGTTTCAAGTATACGCTGTAGCGGATCAAAAATCTGCCAAGCGAGTAATATAACTAAATCTATAGACAACAGGCCGGAGACCATGGTGTAAAGCTTCCACGGTTCGACTTTTTTCTGCAAAAAAAAAAAAAAAAAAAAAAAACGATAAAGAATGAAGAGAAATCGTTTAAAAATACAGGAAAGTTGAGAAAATTATTTCTGGAAAAATATTTAAGAATAAAAATATTTGTTATTTGTGCAAATATTATGCATTTTTATTTTAATTATTAAGAAAAAAGCTTAAATTTTCAAAAAAAAAAATCAATTAAAACTTTTTGTTTTCTGCTTAAAATTTGCGTTTCTTTTGTTTAAAAATAATTTAAAAAATATTTCTAGAGTTTCTATGCACCACTTAACCTATAATCCTTCCCAAATAATGCGACTTAACAACATGTTATACGCACACTCACACCAACACACAGCTGTGTAAATCAGAAAGACCCTATGCGTGTTAGCTGGCTCATGCGCTTTGCTTGTAATTAGCTCAGTTGGTTAGTTGCGCCTTTTGTAATGTGCGTTGATTAATTAGTTTACATCAGTCATCGTTATAATGATGATCATCACTATGTATGTATGTGTGTATGTGTGTGTTATGATAGTAGCGCAGCAGAAACTATAATGCCGCTCTGTGGTCACTAACACTTCTAGCTGGCAAAATGGTCAGGTGTGTATAGTTTAGGGTTGTACAATTGACATAAGCGCATACATATATGCATCAATATATACATACACACATACATACATACGTATATATGTCAATACCCAGCTGACTGTCTGTTTGACTAACGCATAATATTGGGTCACACAAGCGTCATTACAGTTGCTTTTTGCATACACATACACATACACATACATATGTATGTAGAGGTACACGAGTAAAGCTCTGTCAAACACGTGTAAGTATATATGTACGCATGGAGGTTTTGCTAACAATCATAATGCGCATTAGGGAATACTAAATGATTACACATGCATGTAGATGTAAACGCGTGGCTGTAGGTAAGCAGATATTCGTTAGTGTGGTATGCGTGTGTATGAGCATATGTACATACATATTGTACTCGTATATGTTTTGTGTGCTCCCCTCAGCGCTCATTTTATGACCTCTAATTGCGGTTTACCTGCCTGGCGTATTATTCTGCATGCCAATGTGGCATTCTGCGTATTCAATTGATCCCATTCTATATTGATTTGCTCTGCACTCGCCCCAACAGCAGTGTATATGTGTGTGTGCCTGAATACGTGCAATTGGCGCCCCTCTATGCTCAATTGTATTATTGCAGAAATTGTTTGAAACAAATTTTATGCCATTTTTCATTTGAATACAAAATTGATTGGCTGTGTCTATGCTGCTGTTCAATTGAAAGTGCTCATTAGTGCTGGGAATTTCAATGGGATGTTGCTTTTGTTTTTGGTTGGCAATGAAATAATGCAATTGGCATACATGAGTTAATACGTGAGGGACGCTTGTTGAAGACTGCACACACAAATGTGTGCAATAACGGTAATGAAAATATAATTCCGTAGGGAAACTATCATATTTCAGCTTATTTGCTTGGCGGATTTATTCATTATTTTTCTTTTGTGCAAAAACAATAAATGATTCGCATTTATTCGCGGGCTTCAAATATTTACTATCCTTTTGACAAAAGCAATAGAGAGATATAAAATACGCTAAACTGTACTATTTCCTTGTATGTATAGCAAAATTGAATTGCCTTATGTTTTACCCTATTTTTTATATAAAAATAATTTTGCGTTCAGCAACACTTTGTTAAATTACTTTTATGAGCTTAAAATAAAGAAAATTAAAATAAAATATTTTATTTATGTAAAATAAAGGAAAAAAATTAATAAAATAAAATAAAATAAAATAAAATAAAATAAAATAAAATAAGACAAAATAAAATAAAATAAAATAAAATAAAATAAAATAAAATAAAATAAAATAAAATAAAATAAAATTAAATAAAATAAAATAAAATTAAATTAAATAAAAGTAACATAAAATGAAATAAAACAAATACAATAAAATATATACTATAATAAATTAGAAAAGCTAAGGCAATATAATATAAATTAAAATATAATGAAAATAAAATAAGATCAAATAGGCTTATATAAAATGACAGTGTAACAATATATATCTACTTACTTTTGGATCTGTTTTTGCTTTTGTTGTAAAACGATGCACACGCCAGACTTTGCTGAACATAGCACCGTAGGCTAATGTAAAACCGGTGGTTAACAGCCAAGCGCGCGCTTGACATATCTTAAAGAAGAGAAGTTTTGTAAATAAATTAATAATTTTGATATTTAATAAATATTTTTATTAATTTTATATTTTCAAATTTTATATTTTATATATTCTATCTTATATTTTATATTTTATATTTTATATTTTATATTTTATATTTTATATTTTATATTTTATATTTTATATTTTATATTTTATATTTTATATTCTATATTTTATATTTAATATTTTATATTTTATATTTTATATTTTATATTTTATATTTGATATTTTATATTTTATATTTTATATTTTATATTTTATATTTTATATTTTATATTTTATATTTTATATTTTATATTTTATATTTCATATTTTATATTTTATATTTTATATATTGAATTTTATATTTGATTTATCTTACGTTTTATGTGCAAGATTCTAGTTTTTTCTCTCACTTAGCTTACCTTTGGGTACTCCTCTGGACTGACAAATCGTCCATCCATACCCAGCAGAATGACTGATGCGAGACATATGATGACACCAAACAACATTATAGTATTACATACCGGATGCGATGATTGTATTACTCTGAAAAGGAGGGAAAGAAAGCAAACCGTTATTAGTTAAAAATCGAATAATTAAATTTATAAAACCAATTTAATTGGTCCATATATTTTTTCAACGCTTTTTAAAATATTCTCACTGAAAGACACCAGTGCGTATACGTAACAGGAAAAATAGTGGGGGTGCAGTTAGGTTCTAACGCGGGGCTAGGTTGTGCTTAATCCAAAGCCATTTAGAGACTAGTATGCTGTATTATGAGACTCTTGTGAAGCTTGAATGCTGAGATTAGTTTGGCACCTGTGTGGAAGGAGTTTTAATAAATATTTGAAGTCATACATTTTTAGACAAATTTTTAAATAAATTTAATATTTTTATATACTTGCCACTTGAAAATTAAGCTTCTTCTTCTGTTTTAGGAATCTGCCAAGGAAAAGGACCAAAGCAAATGAAATGAGTTAAAAGTTGGCTTGCAAAAATTTTCTCTTGAAAATATTTTCTTGAACGCGCTTTTCAAGCTTCGTTATCATTCAAACTCCTACACTTGCTATTTCTCTACTTGATTTTCTGCACTTTCCTTTTACTCTTTCTTCCTTAGCAATACTTCTTTTGTATTGCTCTGCCTCGCCGGCGCTAATCCGCTAGCGCGACATTAAAACGGAAAGACAATACTTACTTATTGACCACAATGCCAACTTACTAACACTCGGACACGCATACAAACCCTCACATATATATGTATGTATATATATTTTTTTTCTATATGCTTCACCGCTTCTTTACACTTAATAATACTTTTACTTCGCATGCTCTACCGCTCTTTGTTATGCTAATTCCCCGCCTGAGCATGGAAGAAAGCTGTGGCGGTCCTTCTGGCATCGGAAGTGTAAAAGTAAAATACTTTTTTGTGACTTTCTTTTGCCCGGCAACATCCTGTTGCATGGCATTGTGCCTCAACTGCGGACGCTGTCATAACAAAGAAGCGCTTCTCGCTTTGCTCTGTCGCTTTTTTTCTTTTATAAGTAAAAGTAAAAACCCCTGTGACTTTTGCAACAGGCATAACATGCGACACTAAAGCCGCCGGTTATGGCTTTTCATACGCACACTGTAGCTTCGCCTGAGTTCGCCAGCTTTTTTGCCTTCACTTCCGTACACACCGCAAGCATCGTTAGTGGTCGGTAAAGAACTTTATTCAGCTTTGGCCGCCGATCTGCTTCTTTGGTAGGTCTTGCCCAACTTTCTGTTGGACGTTTGGCGGTGACAGGCGAACTGTGTGTGGCGTTTGCTTGCAATTGGCTTATCGCTTTGTGTCAATCAATTGATGCCATTTAATCCGACAGCTACTGCCGCCACTTGGGCACTCCTGTCTTTCGCTCGCCTACTTTTGTCACTCAGCCATGTTGGCCACAATTGAGTTTTTATTTATTGCTGCCAGGTTTAGAAAGGGTAAGTATGTTGTATGGGGTATATTTAATTTGTTCTCTTGAGGGTTTCTTTTGCGGTACCATGTTGGAGTTTAAGGAAAAAAACAATTAACTTACTTGTTGTCCATCCTTTTGCACGTCCTTTTGTATGGCCTTCCTTTATTTCTTCAACCAAACTTCTGCTCTTTGGCGGCTGCCTATCGTCGGAAAGACTATTCAAGTCAAAATCTTAGATAGTTAACCAGCAGTGGATGCTTTCTTCTCCAAGTTGGGCTAAAAAGTCGCGTAAAGCCCCATAAAATCCGACAGCGTTGTTGTTGTTGTAACCGCAAAATATTCATCGTATGGGTTTTCGTGGAATATTGTGGGAGTAATAGACCTTGGCTGTATAAAAATACTACTGTCGCGAGAGCTATTGGATTTTAATCGCCTCTTAGGGCAGATATGCCACGGAAAAATTATTGAGCCTCTAACTCACGGCTGGAATAATAAAATATAAAACCTGCCGTCATTTTGATTATTGTTTTTATATGCAAAATACCCTCAGAGGCATTCTTTTTATGACAAACACAGCGTTATCCACATTCCGCCCCATGCAGCGAGGTCCGCACCTGTAGAATATTCGAAGAATTCAAAAACCAGCGACAGTCCGGACTGCGCTGCACCTGAGCCCGTTCGTGGCAGTTCGTGGTTACGTTCCACCTCCACATTTATCTGATCTGGGCTCGAACCTATGACTCAAATTAAAAACTGCTCTCCACAAGGCTAATGCGGCAACCGAGTTCTAAATGTATAAATCTCGTTTTGCAGTACTTGTATCGGGTTGCGAAAATGACAGTGGTGGAAGCCGACAACATAAGGAAGGCTCCGATTTCTCTACTGATTATAAAGAAGAAATAAAGTTTCACTTATGAGCAGCGCCATGAAACCCGGTGTGACCACTTAAGCGGCATTGGAACTGGATAACTCTCAAAAAAGTCGTTGCGTGCTCGATATAGGTGGAGCAGAATACTAAGAGAGATTCACAGTTCTGCTGTGTATAGGAATGGACTGTGTTAACTACTTTGGTACTAGAGGTACTCCAAAGCTCGCTCGCTTAATGCAAGCAGAACTGGCAGCAGATCTTTAGGAAGTCGCAACCATGATCTCCTCAGCTAAGAGCCTGCTTTGCAGGTTAGAGCACGAGATAAAATGTTTAAAGGGAGCTAAAACTGGGATTGCTGCTGCCCTCAGTTATATAGTACACTTCTTCATTGAGTCGGCTGTCTTAGTAGTGCATATTTGAGGTTTTAAGAAGCAACTTGGACAATTTAAATTGTGGTCACAATAGCTGAGTAGTAACTATTACGAACTATCAGGGAAGACCAGTATTTCAGTACCATGCTCCGACTTCCATCCAACTGTGGTCAAACCTTTGCAAGGAAATGTCAAACGCTTCGATTACGTTTGAAGACATGAAGCAAAGTCTCTTCTTAAAATTCCAACAGACCTTAGGTGGCGGCTTTGCATAAACTGTGGGCTTTTCAATTTGTTGGTAAAACATCAAGGTAAAAAACCACAATTTAGAGAGCGAGCTCGGTCGATAAGCGCTTCAAAGCGCTAATTTGTTATATAAAGGCGATTACGTGCGCCATCGATTGACAGGTGTAGTTTCATGCGAGTTTTGTTGCTCCTTATTTGTTCCCTTATCTGCGTCTTCGTAATTTTTGCTACACGTCTTCGTAGCACTTTAAAAGCTCGCCCACTTGCACCTCTTCAAAATACCGTCCTCACGTTCGCTCTTTAAGTTCCACCGCGCCATTGTAGTGCCACTCTCAGCCTGTTTTGTTCTTGTATCTACTGACACGTCAAAGCTTTTGTTTATCTACATTCTTTAGCTTTGGCTTTAGTGTTAGTGCTAGTCTTTGCGTACTTTTGTATTTAATACAAAAAGGTATTCGAATTATTATATATATATAGATAGACAAATGTATCACCTTTCCAGTCATCAACGCGCTTATCTCCATTGCCAATCCTCAGTTGTCTGCCTTTCACACTGAACTCTCAGCTCATTTTTCACTCATTTGCCGTCTACAAAACACCACTGCCACACCCACCGGCAACTACTTAAACTTCAACTGGTGGTGTCACTGTAATGAGTGTCTACGAGGTTAAGTAAATTTCCTAACTTGTTGATAGCTATCAATCGTTTGGCTTAGAGAAATTGTTTAATTGTCTAATTAACTTCAATTGATTTTGCGAATATCGGTTGGAAAAGCTCGAAATGGCAGAGAGTTGAGGAGAGCGTTGGGTGAAGTGTGTTTTGCGTATGTGCGGGTGTTGTCGCTCTCAGAGAGGGTGCTGACTTTGGCAGCTTTTTGGGCGATTATGTTATCTGGTAATGTGTTTTGTAAGGTGTCTTTTGTAATCTTTAAAGTGAATTTTTATTGTTTCTATGACAGAAAATTACTCAATACGCGGCTTGTGTTGGTTTGCAATTTAAAATTTGGGCGTGTAGCAGATTGTAGGTGAGTTGGTATTTACTGTTGGAGTATTAGTAATTGTTCGATTCACAAACAGCTTTCGTTCGACTCCACTTAAACCGAAGTTATACAGATTAGTTAACTTCTGGCTGGATCGCTGCACTTTAGATTGGTCTCATGGAGCAGAGCTGTTGTAAAGTATAGAAGAAATAGTTTCCCTTTCCTCAGCAATCCAACAGATCTTACAACTCTTTTTGAAGGAGATAGCAGCCTTTCTGCCCTGTACTTTATTTGACAATGACCCATTAGCACGTCTTTTGAAGTAGACACCTAACCTTTCTGCATATTATATCAAGAGTCGGGATCCCGTCAGAGCATCCCTTTGGTCTTAACCTGGCCAAGCTTGATTAGATTGGCGACAAGACCAGTCATCTTTCTTCCTTAAGATGGCCAATTAAAGATAAATTTCTCTAATTGTAGTCAGAGGCAGAAGAAACCACTTGGTCTTACGTTATAGAGCCCAAAAGGTAGCATCCAGTCAGGAAGAATCCAATTGAGTAATATTATTTGCTGCTAAGCAAAATTCAGAAGAGATCTGTAAGAGTCCAGCATGATTTTGTAACTTGTCAAGAGCCTGTTTTGTAGCGGGATGCCTCAATACTTTTGCTTGGACGTAACCGTCCCGTGCTGCGGCGCTGTTTTCGGTTGAGCTCGGTCTTAAAACCTGGACTTGCTACACAAATGTTTACATTAGAAACCAAAAAAACTGTAAAAAACGCAAGATAATAAGCTGGTCTTGAGATCCATCACGCAAAATAATCAGCTTCAATGAAAAGAACGATCAATCCTCGCATAAAACTGTTAATTTTGTTAACGACAAAACATGAAAACATGCACCAGTGCTGATATGGTTCATTAATTGGGAGGTATCAACTAGACTCCAGGAGGTGGCAGATCCACAAAGCTTTTTGGCTTATCATAACAGTTTGAAGCATTGAAATATTAAGCAGATCCTTGGCTGGGATCGGATTAAAAAATCTAAAATCCGCGTTGGGCGCAAAACACTGCCGGTGCCATATTGCCACCTTATCTGTAGCAACCAAAGAGGCAATTGGCTTTGTGAAGTTTAAAGCAGAATGAG